GGTGAGCTTCCAGCCAGGTCAGCTTCTGCTCATGGGCTCACTCCGCTCTCTGAGCACCAGATCTGCTGCACCCTCACTCAGGCCCTGGCCCCCACCTCCGTGTACTGGCTCTGGATTCCACTTCCCCTCTGAAGGCTGGGAGCCTGCTGGTCCTCAGAGCCGCCCTTCCTAAGAGCAGGGGCTTAGGGAGCAACCAGACCTCAGCTCATTACAAAAGGGGGGGAGGGAGAGGAAATGGGGGTAGGAGGGAGGATAAAGACACGGAGGAGAGGGCTAGGAGCAGTACGACCCTTAAGCACACACTCACTGTACTAAGGACCTTGCCTACATTATGGCTAGCCCTACTATGTGTGGGGTGGAGCAGGAGATAGAGACGGTGTTCATTTGCAGGTGGGAAGAGTAAGACTGCCAAATCATACAGGTGACTGCTCCAGGGACCGAGAGTTAGACACGCTCATCCCTTGAACTAACGCCCCCCCCCCCCCCCCAGTCGCCACATATCCTCAGCTGTCACTTTGCCCCTAGGGCAGTACCAACCAAAGAAAAAGGCGAGCCGCATGTGTAATGTCCACGTCCTTAGCAGCCACTTTAAACAGTACGAAAAGAAACAGGAGAAGTTGATGTGACTAATTTATGACACTTAACTCTAATTTTCCAGAATACATTTCAACCTATGCTCACTGTGAACACGTCCCTGGGAAGTTTTGCTCTCTTTTTCCACACTATGTTTATAACGTCGGTGCATGTATTTCCCTGTGGAACGTCTCAGTTGGGCCAGCCCTGTTTCAAGCACTCGAGTCCCACATGCAGGACAGTGCAGTCCCCGTGTGTGGGCTGTGGGCGTGACGCTAACCTCACGGCGCCAGGCGGGTGGAGTGAGACGACTAACTGCCAAACGCGGTCCGTGTTCAGTACTCCATGAACGGCAGACTCGCTTCGTTCCATTCATCGCCCCACACCTGTCCCAGGGTAGGAAGTGGGTGCTATCTCCAACCATCCTGCCTTTTCCAGACCAGTACCAACCTAACCCTCCAGCTCTGCTCACCAGAATACACTGAGTTAAACACTTTGCTTATCGTTGGCTATGATTTCAGATTTGCTGAACGCGCTTCCTCTTTGCCTTTAAGGTGTTGGAATCATCCTCGTGCGTATACTGCTGGTGTGCACGTCATAGCACGCGCGGAGTTTGTCTTCAGGCTCCCTCCCACCTTCGACGTTCTTTGAAGAATATTTTGTAGCTCATCCGACGTGCAAGGCCTTGTCCCCGACACTGAAACACTTCGTCCTCGTGGACATGATATTCTTAGGTGTGAGGACAGACACTATGAAGGAGATGAACTAATACGTACATAAACAGCAGGTGAAACCAGTCGACACACAACTTTGTGCCATCGTCTGCCACCTTCCTGCCGCCCCAGGTAGGCCTGAGTGCCTCAATGACAAGAGAATGCCGGATGACCACTGCAGCCTGGCATCCGGCCTGCGCCCAACACAGAGGAACCTCTCGAGGTGCAATTGAATGAACGATGAACGAGTGAAGGAATCGACTGTATTGAATAAATGTTCACTAAAGTGCATGGCTGTCGGGTGACTGAATGAATGCATGAGCTAATGGAATCCGGTGGCTGCACCAATCCCTAGCTGAGTGAACAAATGGAAAAATGGTCGGAACGAAGTCAATGGTTGCTACGTCAAAAACAACGTGGTCTATGGTTTCCCGGTCACCAGTATGAAGGCCCTGTTCAGTGCAGTTTCCTCCCGAAGCCACACACAGGCGTTTTGTGTGCCAAGAGGTTTCGAGCGTTCGGACTTTGCACGGTCCTGACCGAATCTTCCTAGATGGTTTTCGGTGTGTCACTGTTGGCCGTTTTGCTTTGTTGTGCTTTGTTTCTAACTGAAGGGATTATAAGGGGATTTTGTTTCGTTTGTCACCGGAATAGACCAGGCCCTCATCTCGCAGCTGTATTTACTGCTTTCCTTTAGACGGCTGAGCAGTAACGTACATCTTGCTTCTATTTTAGCCATTCGGAAAAGCCCAGCTACAGAGAATCACCGAGTTTGCCTTGATGCCACCGTGACAGATGTGGGTTGTTTGGGCTGACCTATATCTGCTTCCCCTTCTCTGGAGTAACGGCCCCCAGTTTTCCTTCAAGAACCAAACTCCTTTCAAGAGAGTAGAAGTGGTAACTAACTCCACTCCAAATGTTCGACTAGATCATGTGGCTTAGGCCCAAAACCTACTTTCACTCCTAGGCTAGCGATGGGTCGAGAAACAGTCGCTGGCCTAGACTCGTCCACTCGGACTGAATCCCAGGCCTGCTGGGTACTAGACTCCTGCCCCAGGGTCTGCAAGAGCTCTCGGGGTCACTGAGAGGTGCCTTGTGCTGGTGTCCCCAGTCTGCACTCTCTCCTTCTCCCTGGCTCCAGGCCCAGAAAACCCACCACTGTGACCACATCAGCTGGGCTCCTTTGCTGGTTTTTGTCAGAAGGGATCAGGCCCACAGGGGCAGCAGCACACAGGAGGGGAGAGGGGCCAGGGCTTCTTCCCTGTCCTCTCTCTGCTACGGTCCAGGCAATAGCTCTGTCCTCCACACCATGCTTCCATGGCAGCTGCTCCTCAGCCCTCAAGGGGGCACCAGTGACAGCTTCCCAGCCCTGCTCTCTGCTTGCTTCACCCACCGCCAGTTCCCAGTGCCTCGGTACCCCTCACTGGTCTCACCCTTCTCTAACAGAACCTTTGTCGTCTCTTCAGTAAAACCTGTTACTGCTGGGACTAGGACACACAGGACCCACGACCAGAGTTAGAGGAACCCAGAAGTGGGTCTTGGTGTCACCACTTGAAGCTGCCTGACCCCTGGCCTTTTCAACTGTAAATGATACTATGGGGTTGTCATGCATAGAGGCTGGAGGCCTGGGTTCTCTTCCCAGCCCCGCTGTCCCGTAAATGTGCAGCATGTCCCAGGAGCCTGACCTCTCAGGAGTTGTCCCTGCCATTCCCGGAGCCAGCCCTCGGGCACAGAGGTGCTTCAACATCTACATTGGATCAGCCTGTCTGAGATCTAGGCTTCTGAACCAAGGATGACAGGATGGCAAAAGGCCAGAGGCAGGGCCAAGAGGTGGTCTTGCTCCCCAGCACTTGTACCGAGGCATCCTCGGAAGCCAGCCCGAGTGTCTGCATTGGCTCTTTTCCTCCGTAGCCAGCCCAGATTTCTGGGCACATAGGCTTAGGTCAGTCCCTGAGTCCCATCAGCCCCGACTGCTTCTGTTCCCCAGTCTGGTCCCACACCTTCTCTGGCCTACAGCCGAGGGTCTGGCATGCCCTGCAGCTGTGACTTCCCACATCTCAGCCTTCTGAGTGCTCTCCCCGATGAACAGGACGTCTGCCTTGAACGGAAGCTTGCACACCGTTGGGCAGGCCACCCTCACTTGCCCTTCTAGGAGATCGTCTGCTCCTCTGTGAAATGGGCCTAGTCACCTATGCTTCATCTCTGCTGAGACTCAGCTCGTATTTCTCCTCAGCCTTTGGAGCAGTGTCCCTTGTTCCTGCTGTCCAACCATATTCCAGTCTCCAAAGGGACCCGATCACGTGACACCCCTGCACATAGCCCTCCTTTATGAGACCGTGACAATCCAGCAAAGTCCAGCAACCCCATCCCTCCTGGGACCTGGCCACACAGGCCTATCCAGGGGCTGACCATGCTGAGGCAGGCCTTGACCTCCGCCACCTCCCATCTCAGTTCCACGCAGCTCATGCTCATCCTCTGAACAGTCAAAGCACCACCTCCAGGGAGCCCTCTTTTCCTCAGCACCACCACCCACCACGCAAGGACCCCGCCGTGAGACTGCCCTCGTCGGTATTAAGTTCACCACCCACACTCCTTCCCGTCTTTCTTTCTAGGCTATGAGGACTTTAGCACAATAGCTGTGACTGGTCCATCTCTGTATCCCCAGGAAGCACCAGACCATGGAGATTAAAGGAGCCAATGCAGAGGAAAGTCCTACTGTGGTCAAGGCATCGAGAACCATCCATGTTCTGAAATGGCTTCTCGCTGGGCTGCAGGCCGGACACAAGATCTGGGACCAGCTTCATCTCTCAGCCCAGTCACATTCACCTGCTCCTAACACCAGCCCTTCCACCACTGTCCCAGCCCCTAAGGCCTTCCCTGGACCTACCCAGGTGTGGCCCAGGGGCTTCCAGCCAGGGGTTGTTCAGGTCCCAGCAGCAGTCAGCAAGACGGGTGTCCAGCTCCCATCCACTCAGAGCTTGGCCCCTGTTGGGCCTGGAGGAAAAAGTACCCAGCATCCCTTGAACCCAAGGAGAGCATGTCACTGCAGTGAAGCTGGCAGAGGTGGAAGCTGGAGACAAGCTGGGGTGTGAGTCCCAGCCGATCCACCCTGCCCTGGGGAGAGGCCTGTTGCAACGACTCCACTAGGCTCCTGAAGATCAGGCTTCCAGGCAGACCCCCAGGGGAGCAGGGTCCACCGCTGGCTGCTGCCCACCCCTCTCCCATCCCCCCACCTCAGCCACAGTGAACAAATTCCACACCAGTAAGGCTGAGAGCTCGGGTCACCACCGAGGGCACGAGGTCAACAGCACTTGACCTCTGCATGTGCAGCCCCACCATGTCACAGCTGACCCGGCTGCCAGCACAGGTCCAGAACCTGTCTGTGCCATTTTCTCACAGCATGCTCGGGAGCCCCTGCACGCCAGACCTCGGGGAAGGTTTCGCAGCACTGACCCCGCAGCTCTGGGTGGTGAGCGGGCGAGGTTCCCATCTCAGAGGCGACGAGGGGACTTCAGAGACGAGGCCGCCAAGACTCTCATGGAGGAGGCGGAGTTACAATCCAGCCTTCTTCATCCCGACCTCCCTCTGCCTCTGGCAGGGAGACACCAGACAGGCAGGAGCGAGGCTGGGTCTGCTAGAGCCCAGGGCTGGGCCGCCCCCCACCCCAGTCCGCGCTGCCCGGGGCCCGCGGCCACCACGTCCCACCGCACTCACTCTCGCACAGGCGGCGGCGCAGCTTGCCGCGGATCTTGTCGATGGCGTCGAAGTCGGAGACGTGGAAGACGTGCGCCGCCTTGGGCTCGGAGGCCACCTCCTCCAGCTCCTCCC